TTTTTTCCATCAGGGAGACCCTATTACAGGACAGAGAGAACCATCTTCACTTTTTTCCAAAGTCAGCCACTGTCCCAGACTGTTTCTTGCCAAAGCTCCATTTTTCACAGTATGTCTGGCCGCACGGCAGTGGACTCCAAAGTGCGACAGAAAGACAAGAGGTGTATTTTTTAGCCAGAAACCCCTAACACTGTGAAAGCAGTGAACAAACATGGAGTGAGTTTTTACAGAACCTGTGAATGCAGTATCAGAGGAGATGGAAGAGGCCGCTTAAGAAAGTCCACCCAAGGCTGCTCGGCGAGCTCAGCCGGTTAGAGCACAGCCTTACAACACCAAGGTTGCAGGTTCTGATCCCTGTACTGGCCAGCCGCCACCCCCATCCCCCCAAAAAAAGCCCACCTAGCGGCCAGCCAGCTCAGCCGGTTAGAGCACAGCCTTACAACACCAAGGTTGCAGGTTCCGATCCCTGTACTGGCCAGCCGCCACCCCCATCCCCCCAAAAAAAGCCCACCTAGCGGCCAGCTCTTACACAAGGATACAGCAAGGAGCCCTGACGACCACCACGGGCCAAGTGACTGAGCAGGGCTCACGGTTTGGAGGCTCCAGGCTGCAACAACACACTCAAAATGCTGGATCAGCTCAGGACTTGTAGGATCAGCCTCAACAGCAGCACTGAAGCTCGTGTATTATAACAGACTGTTGTGGCGGTCTCAGACAGGGACAGGCTCATCAATCAAGTGACTCTGGGTAGTTCCCCACTTGGGAAAACAGAGGCTCACAGACAGCACAGCCTCAGCCCTGGCTGGCCTGGATAGTCCCGGTTGGTGCCCATTGTCCCTCCCTGTCATTCTTAAGGATGTCCCAGCTTGGACAGCAGATTATGTAGCCACCACACCCGGGTCAGGCAGCTAATAAGTGAGTGGGCTAGACCACAAATCTGGCTTCTCGAGCACGATCCAGTGTGCGTTCCACAATAAGCCCTGCTGCGGGCCTGCGCTACAGCAACATGTCTATGAGGAATCAGAGGAAGAAACAGGGGTATTTCAGCAGACCCGAAAAAGCCCTCTGTAAGACAGACTTCCACCAAAGAGAAATTAAAGTCTGGAAATAAATAAGTCAACTGTCCGGGACTGATAAAGATAAAGGAAATTCAACGGAAGGAACGTTCACCAGCCTAGAATCTCAGGAAAGGTTAGCACAGATCAGTTTGGTCCCTTTGACAGTTCCTCTGACATCTCCCAATGATGAGCACCAGGAGAGACAGTTCTGACCCCCAAAGGGAGCCCCGAGGACCCCCTCACCTGTTTCCTCTCCCGGGATCCGAGAAGTATTAAACATTCGCTCCCATTGAGCAGAGCAGAGTGGAATTGTGGATCCCAAAACACAAATCTGTAAAAAGAATATGTTTCAACAAACAAAAATGCCACAGGGAGACCAAAAAATAAAAAAAGGCAAATTAAGACCACACATGTAAATGCGGGATTTGCTTTCCGTACACATGGCAACAGTCTGTCTTCATCTTTTCCAGTAGTTCTCTGGGATAGTTCACTGGGGGACTTGAACCATGCCAGGTACAACTTCCTGCATAATTAAGTCCTAAATAACACATTCTGAATAATTTTATAAACTGACACTGAAACCAAAGGGGTATTCGAGGAAGAAACGTCTTGCTTCTCATGGGTTGCACACCGACAACATCATTTTCCTTCAGAAACAAACAAGGGTCTCTTTGATGGGCAAATTACAGAGCTGAAGCACAGCGGGTGTCCAGTCACTTAATGTATGCAAGGAGAACTGAATCTCAAAATAATCATGCTGGGTGACAGCAACCAGACCAAAAAATCCTAAAGAGCACAAACCATATGGTTCCATTTACATAAGCTTTAGAAATTACAAACTAATCTGGAGTGACAGATAATAGATCAGGGTTACCTGGCGGGGCAGGAGGGGGCAGCAGGGGGCAACCACAAAGGGGCACAGGGAACTTTCAGGGTGACGGGTGGATTCACTACCTTGACTGTGGCAATGGTTTCACGGGTGTGCAGGTACAGATACGTCAGAACTTACCAAACCGGGCACTTCAAGTGTGTGCAAAATACCAACTGTACCTCAATGAAGCTGTCTTAAAATCATGTTTTAAAAAAAGCAATCAGCCTACTGGTTTGATTTCCTCCCGGTCCAGTTTGCGTCTGTAAAGCAGGATGGCGTGCACGGTGTTGCCTGCTCTTGCTGCCTGAATGTGAGTCGGAGTGATGTACAGAAAGTCCTGAAAAAGCAGACAGAATGTTCGCGGGAGAGAGCGGCTAACTTAAACACGCTGTAGAGCAGCCCACCCTTAAACCACGTCTACAGACGTGTCCGATTACATCTGCTAAGCTAGAAATTAAATTGCAACTTAATTTCATTAATTAACTAATTTAAGTTTGCTGTACTTTGTCAGTTTCACTTTGCTAATGTTTTAAAAGAACACAAGCCCCCGAGTATTCTTGGGCTATTAAAGATAACAGGATTTCTCCCCAAATATCCTCATATAATGCAGGGAAGTAACTAAAGATTAAAGGAACTTTTCATATAGAGCAGTGCTTACAACTTTCTAAATTATGAGACACACTTCGAAATGTCTACATTTTTAACAACTGGAAAAAAAGGCCAAGGGACACAGTCTAAACTACATTTGGAAAGAGTCTATGTGCACAGTGTGTCCCCAGTTATGCAGGGAAGTAGCTCTGTCTGGAGGAAATAAACACGAACGTCTCCAGGAGGGAAAGGGCAGCGGGGGGAGAGCACAGCCCCCCGCGGTGCAGGGAGAGAAGGTTCTGTGTCCTGCACCAGCTCCTCCCTGGGTCTGAGATTGTTTCAGACAGAAAAAAAGAAAGAAAGAAAATTTTGAAACAGAGAAAAACAGAAAAAAAGCAAATGATAAAGAGAAATAAGGAAAAGAGGGAAAAAACAAAAGGAGTGAAAAACAGAAGAAAGAAAAGAGAAAGAATTCTATTCGCCAATTGTTCAACAGAGGCCGAGAACCCAAAAATCAAGGGGCCTCATGGCCACCATCAATGGAAAAACAAAAGGAGTGAAAAACAGAAGAAAGAAAAGAGAAAGAATTCTATTTGCCAATTGTTCAACAGAGGCCGAGAACCCAAAAATCAAGGGGCCTCATGGCCACCATCAATGTTTGAAAAGACAAAGAAAGACCAAGAGACATTGATCAAAAACTGCCCTGAATACATGACCATCTGGCATCTGAGAACACGGAAGCAAGAAGCTGGCCAAGCCACTGTCCCTGAGCTCTGGGGGTTACGCAGTGACACAAAGTCTTAAGGCTACTGTGGCACTAAGTTACAGGGGGTACAGGGACGTGTGTAGTGAGGAATCCTGTTTGCCATGAGCATGTTTTTGCAATCCAAATTTCCATGCAGGAGCTCAGTGTCCTCGAGCCACTAGGCAAACGCGGAGGGACGTCCACGTGGTCTCTGGTGTGGTCAGCGGGACAGAGAAGGACACGGGTGAGCCTGGG